ACATCAAAAAATGTTGCTCCGACTCTTCAAAAATGCCAACAGGTGTGTGTCCGAATCGCCAAATTCGCCAAAAGTACTGTATCTTTGGAGAATCCAAGACAGGTGCGGCATCAGAAGTGGAGAGTCCGCGACTAAGATCAAAATGCCCTTTAAGACTAACAAATTGAAAAGGAGGGGAGTATACATATATGCGCCAAATGGGTGCACTGGCTCTCACTGCCCTAGAGGTGAATCCAGCCACCACAAATTATGGAGCAAATCATTGTAAAACAAAAAATACAAACGAACAAGAAAAAAATCAACTTTTTTACCTGGGACTTCCAATTGGCTTCAGCGTTCTTCTTTTCACGGCTCAAAGTTGAATCATCCTAACAAAAGACATAAACATCACAGCTATTAAACTCAAGTGAAACATGAATCCAGCAGCCGATCTAAAACACAAAAATTAAGCACATATATATACAATAAACTGCACCCACTACAAACCCACAAGCTCTAAATCAACTAATCGTGTATAATTTTGGGTAAAACAAATAAAAAAAACCTGATCTTGAGAAGCTCGAGTGAATCCAAGTGGATCAGGGATGTCACGAGAGGGAGAAGAAGTCGAATTATCTGTGAAGTCTACTGCCCATCTACGCCCCATACCCATCACTGCTTTACCTTTATCCATGGCGATTTTTCACTTCATACACCACAACACACACACTCTGTTTCGTTGATTGATGAAATTTAGGAGTTTTGGCCTTTGGGTGTCTTCTGTTGGTTTTATAGGGTGGAGAATGTCATAAGGGTAAGAAATAAGAGGGGCAAAGTGTAATTGAAAAAAGTTATGGGGATTGAAGTTGATTTTTTGGGAAAAAGTTAGTTGCACTTGTCCTTTGTTCGGAGGGCTATTACGTATTGTTTCTTAATATATATTATGCTATATATTATCGTATTATTGTAATAAGTATAATATTTTTATAAATTATATCGTAGTTATAACTATATAATGTTATTCATAAGAATAGAATTATAACTGATAATTGATTTATTGATATTATAAGTGATAAATTTAAATTTTATATTTAGTGGTTCACTAATATGGGAAAAGATTACTCAAATTTCTTATAAGTAATTATGAGTTGAATTTCTTATTGCTATCAATTACTTAATTGATAACCCACAAGTCTTCACTTTTGTTTATATATATATTTAAAGTATATTTAATTTTAAAATAATTATTGTTGAAATAATTAGAGACTCTCAACAACACGTGTATTTCGCATAAGCTAATAAGTTACAAAATAATATATCCTAGTATTCGTTCCATGCGAATTACAATTCACATCAAAATTTCTACTCCTCACTTTGAAAGAATCTTTAAAATACTTTCGATACACACAAACAAAATTTGGAGAAATTATATTCCATGAAACATAAAAGAAAATCTAAAATATTTTCAATTGAGCTAATTAGATTATATTTGGAGAAAAATATTGAAAAACTCATCATATTATATTAGGAAGAAGAGAAGGCACAAGTATCCAATAACTATGATCGAATTTTTAGAGACACGTCACGTCTTACATAACCAAGTTATATTACCCCACGATCTCATTTCATAAATAATATTGTACACCTTTAGGCTTATGTGACACACTTCATAACTCCACGCAATCGAGACGCGTGGGAGATATTCGAAAGGCACATAACAGAAAAATATACAGAATTACAAAAAAACGAGTTCAGATGTAATATGACCTTATGTTAGCTAAAGTGCGTATACGGAATACGAATCATAGTCTAGGGAAGTACTTCTACCTTTTCTTTTTCCTGGTAAGAAAACAAACTACTAGCCTTGCTAACACGACATAGAACTAAATTAATCAAAACAACATAATCGGTGTAATTTCGAAACGAGATTATACATATTCGAAAATCTCTCATATTTATACACAAGTTAAAGGACCAAATGCAACCAAATCTCATACATTAAGCACTATTTTGTTCATTTTCAATTCTTCTCTACTAAGTAAACACAGAGTGAAGAGTTTCAATAGAAAATTTTGCATTTCTTTCACTTCCAGATCTTGATTACTCTCTGCATTTCCTCAAAATTCAGAGCAATTTGATCGAATTTAGCGAATACCCAGATGCAAGATCTTCAATCTCTACCACCCCCTTCACCACAATCGACTCACGCGCCACCACGCTCCGCCACAGACCTGTTCGGAGACCCAACTGACCCAAATCCACCACAATGGCTAAACCCCACATTGTTCCAATCTCAAGATTTCGATCCAGAATCATATATCTCCGATTTACGCACCTTTGTTCCCCTTGAAACTCTCCGTTCAGAGCTCCGTTCTCACTTCACGTCGCTACAGCGTGACCTTGTGGATCTCATCAATAGAGATTATGCTGATTTTGTTAGCCTTAGTACGAAGCTTACTGATGTTGATGCTGCTGTTGTGCGTATGAGGGCTCCGTTGTTTGAGATCAGGGAGAAAATTGATGGTTTTCGTAATGCTGTTGAAGGGTCTCTTGCTGCTTTACAAAACAGGCTTAAACAAAGAGCTGATGCTGTAGAAGCCAGGGAAGTTCTTGAACTTTTGCTTGATACTTTTCATGTTGTTTCTAAAGTTGAAAAATTGATTAAGGAGTTACCAAGTGGACAAACTGATTATGTTGAGAGTGGATCTAATTTGAGGGAAACTCAAAGTATGTTACTAGAGAGAATTGCTAGTGAAATGAATAGGCTAAAGTTTTATATTTCTCATGCACAAAATATGCCTTTTATTGAGAATATGGAGAAGAGAATACAAAATGCTAGTTCTTTATTAGATACAAGCTTAGGACATTGTCTTGTAGATGGACTTGAATATAGGGATGCAAATGCTATATATAACTGCTTGCGTGCGTATGCTGCTATTGATAATACCAAGAATGCTGAGGAAACTTTTCGATCGACTATAGTGGGACCTTTGATCCAAAAAGTTATCCCGCAAAATCCGTCTGGAGTCGTTGGTGGATCATCTGGAAATGAACTTGAGGAGGATTATGTTAAGATCAAGAAATATATAGAGGATGATTGTAAGTTTCTATTGGATATATCCTCTATTGAGAATTCGGGTCTACATGTTTCTAGCTTCCTTGCGAATTCTATCCTTAAAGAGGTTCACTACGCTATCCAGAAAGGAAAACCAGTGGTGTTCTCTCCCGGAAGGCCTACTGTGTTTCTAAAAAATTACAAAGCAAGCTTGAATTTCCTGGCACATTTAGAAGGTTACTGTCCCTCGCGATCTGAAGTAGTGAAGTTTCGGTCCGAAGCTGCATATATTGAGTTTATGAAGCAATGGAATGTGGGTGTCTATTTCTCATTGAGGTTCCAAGAGATAGCTGGGGCTCTTGATTCAGCACTTAGTGTTGCTGGTCTCGTCCCGGTGGCCTCTGACCAGAGGAAGCCTCAAGACTTGATTTTGAAGCAGAGTATTTCTCTTTTAGAGTGCTTAAGATCTTGCTGGAGAGATGATGTTCTTGTCCTATCTTGCTCAGACAGGTTCTTGCGTTTGTCTTTGCAACTTATGTCCAGATTCTCAAGCTGGTTATCTGCCGGATTGGCTGCTCGTAAAGCTGGTAATGTGGGCTCAAACCCAGGATTTGAATGGGCTATTTCTGCAGTCCCTGACGACTTAGTATACATAATTCACGATTTGAACCGTTTGGGGGAGGAAGTGTGTGGTGATTACCTTGAACACATACTTGAGTTGCTCAAGTCATGCCCTGCTGAAGTTTGTGATTTTGTAAACCAGAGTATTTTACAAGGTGGGAAGTCCCTGAAGGGTCTTTTACCAATTGTGATGAGTGCAATAATTGAGACAATAGTTGAGAAATGTGTAGAGGACTTGAGGCAGTTGAAAGGGATAACTGCTACCTACAGGATGACTAACAAGCCTCTCCCAGTCAGGCATTCTCCATACGTCTCTGGAGTATTGCGTCCATTGAAGGAGTTTTTGGAGGGAGAAAGGGCTGCAACTTGTCTGAATAATGAGACAAGGAATGAGCTCTTGCAAGGTGCTGCTTTGGAAATAACTCAACGTTACTATGATTTAACGTCAGAACTTGTGAATATGAGTAGAAGAACGGAATCTTCTCTTCAAAAACTACGTTTGGGTGCTCAAAGGCGAGCTGGAGCAAGCTCAGATGTCTCGGATCACAATTTGTCTGAAACTGACAAGATCTGCATGCAACTATTTCTTGATATTCAGGAATATGCCCGAAGCCTTTCATTACTTGGGGTGGATGCAGCTAGTATTCCACCTTATCAATCATTATGGCAGTGTGTTGCCCCTGCCGAGAGAAAAAACACAATAAGCTTCTAGTTTAGACTTGGTTATTTTATATATCTACTTCATTTTGTATCAATATCTCATTCTTTTCTTATTGTTTTTCCCCTCTGTTTTATATTATCATTTCGATGTAACAAAGCTGCCATTGATTTCTGAGATCTCCTGATATGGATACTGATTGTGGTGGATATCTGATTATTGTAAGGGGGATTTTCCCAAAAGTCATACATACATAGAGTGACTGCTATCTTAATTCGAAATAAAAGAACACACTTTATTTACCCTTTGATCAGCATAGATTAACAGCTAACATGGTAGCACTAGTGTTCTATATAGTGTTCTTCACACCAAAACAGAAAGTTGTAAGGCATACTTGATTTTCTGAGTTGTTTTGAATCTGTCTTCAAAGTATCTTCCATTTCATTAGTCTAATGATTAGAACATTTTTCCTATGCTTTGTTGTGGTCTGCAATATATTGAACAGAGTTGAGTTTTTTTGTCTTGTTTATCAGCTGTGCTAATTCGATCTTGAAGTTTTATCAATAGAGTGATCCAGTGTCATTGCTGATTTTGCTAGCGCTGTGATGTGTAAACACTATCATGGGATCATCTTGTCTAAAACTGTGCAAATTATTAGAAATAGCACTGCAGGGATTCTCAAGAAGCTACTTGCAACTTGTCTATTTGATTTCAAACTAATCCCCAAAAACAGTATAATAAACATCTGTAATACAATGTATTCATAAGGTCTCTTAACATTATTTTTCGTTTTTGAGGCCTCCTGAACAAAAAGCTCTATGATAGATTTGTAATGCTCCTAAACAATTTCATGGGCTTCTTCAACAGAAAGCTCATCAACAGAGCAAACCAAGGCACAATTAGCTGCAACTAGACAATTATAGTGTACAACAAAACAAATTTAGCATAATTAGTTAAGATCAAAAGGTTTCTCTTTTCCCTCTTCAGTCTTCCCACTCTTAACAGATTACATATTCTACACATTCTCAGCTCAACATAAACAACGCACCGCGAGCAGCATATAGCAGGTGTCCGGCGATGACCAATTTTTTGAATCTAGCAGTAACTTCTGTACAAAAGAAGTGAAAAAAAAATAAAACAGTTTCTTAAGATTGAATACGTTGCTCTTTTGACATCTCTAACACCTCACCGATTTAATTGTATGGTTGAAGTTATAGCAGCAGAGTCATGTAGAACAGGGACTCTGCCATGTACATAGGTCAGCAAGAAGATCTCGAAGCTGGTCAATCAGAAGTTTGAGATGCTTGTTCTTGTCTACAAGCTCCTGCAATTTGTAAGAACAATAGAATATGCTTTAAATCTTGATCACAATAGCAACTTGATTTTTCACTACCGTAAGATAATAGAAAACTATTAGGCATGCACTCAAGTACGATAAAACTCTACCTTCACTTGAGGACTTCTTATTGCCACTAGGGGGAGACATAAAGCAAATGAAACAGGATTTGACTAATTTTAACGCAATAGGAATAAAATTAATAATAATACAGTATGTACAACAAGCAGAGGATGTTGAAACCAAGTTTTCATATGTTATCACAAAATCATATTGTTCTGATTTGAGGTTGTGACAAATATCGAGACTTGAGAAAGTTTGTACAGTAAGACATTTTGTCATGTGTCCGGAATGAAAATGTAACATGTAGTATACCTCAATATTGTTTTAATGGATAAGAAATTACTCAATGGATCAAGGAAGACATCAGTCAAGGTTCAAATATTGGCACACACATTTGCTTCACCAAACCCACCCATCATGCATCCCAAAAACCAACAAAAATCCAAGGAAATTCTAATATGTCAAAATTTGATATGTTATCAATACCTTCTTTAATGAAGAGGCCCGGTCTTCCAGCTGCTCAATTTCCGCTTGATCTGCTGCAGATAGTGAACCACTAGCAGAAGCAGCTTCCAATGCTTTTGCCTAGCTAACAAAGCCAGTAATGAGTGTGAAGTATCATACAATAAGTTAACAACTTTCCAAAATGTACAAGAAAATATAACTTGTTAATCATGAGAATTGAGACAACAGAAAGGAGAGTTTGACAACTTCCAGTTAAAACGGAGCAAATACTTGCACAACTCTTAAGAAAGAAGTTACTAAAAGAACTCATTTAATGTGTAGTCGGACATATGTTGAGCAACAAAAATGCACTCAACATCAGTGATTTATTTGTTCATACTGACAAACAAAATTCTTACTGCTTAACCAGATTCTCTCCAATGCACAAATGTTAAGGCAATCCATACACCAACACCAAGGACTTGAGATGTGATTATAGTGCTAATTCTTTCTTGAAAAGGATAACACGCAGTAGTTTATCTTGGTATAAACACTTATACCTCATGTGCGTTTAAACAGCAGAAACAAGAACAACCTCGAAAACATAGTTAAATATCTTCCCCCATCCCCAGCCCCCAACAGCCACCCACAAACCCAGAAGAATATAAGACAAATCAGAAAAAGAGTAAGCAGCACAGTTGAGCTTCATCAACTGATGACGAGGGATGATCAAACGACTGAATATTATATTCATAGTGAAGAAATATTATCCCCATGTCTAGAACATCAAAATATACAATTGCCATGTGCAAATGTTGCTCATATTGGTAAGGGCAAATTGTGCTAGTATATAACCACATGATGTCTTTCCCATATCAATCACCAAAACTGTTTAACCCCTTGTTTTGTGATTAAGATCAATCACCAAACACTTTTCACACTGAATTTACCTTTATCGCTAGATAATGTCTTTTTTTTTCTGCTCAAACTGGATAATGTTTTTCTCTCCTACAGTACTCCGAAGGAACTACATTTCTAGAATATCTATTTGAGTTTCATTCCCAATCAAAACTACCATCTAACAGAACACCAACACCACCTATGGCTCAACACAAGCTGGTTGGTGGTGGAAGTATACGAATCCTCCATATCCATATGGAACCACTTCACTCCAGTATCAAATAGTTTTAACCTTTGGAACCTCTAAAACTAGAGGTTATCTACGTTGGATCCAAATCTTTGCGGTCACGTTGAACTACCTTTGGCATTGAACAAAGCCCCAGTCTTTTACACATTTTCTGTTTAATGGACTTCACTAGAAGTGATTCATTCATATAGCTGAACCGAACTAGTTTATGATCAAGCCATTGTTGATTCATGATTACATCAAACTAACTTTTCCTGAGATCACTATCTTAAATTACAGATATCACACAATTACAAAAATGTTTTAAAAAATTGCATTTTTATACGTAAAATTACCTTTTGGGAATTAGAAATTGCAGTAAGAACAGAACGCAAGGAAGCAATAGAGGACTTATAACGCAGACGAGATTCATCAAGAGCACCACCACCAATATCCAAATGCTGAGCTGAAGCAGAAGAAGACGAAGAAGTATCAGACGAAATGTCGCCGTTTGTATGGTGCTGCTGTCCATTACTCAAAACACCACTAGCACCAACTCCTCCACCGGCCACCGCCACCGCAGAAGAAGCAGCAGCTGTATTTAGAGTGGACCAAAGTGATGGATTACAGAGTTCATCGTTCATGGCGGAGAGAATTTGATGTGCTGCTTCTATTGTATCTTCTAAATGCTTTTGCCCTTCTACTGCTAGTTCTTGTATGGTTTTAGGGCTTGTAATTGTGCCTTTATCCTCCATACCGGGTAATGTCACCGGCTTGTCAAAACCCTAGATCGACGGCGGCGGTAGTGGTGGCGATCGGCGGTGCGAGAAGTTGTAAGGAGAATTAATTTAAGCATAAAATGACGTCGTTTTATGCGTGGCGTGTACTTTTTGGGCCGGGTAAGGAGCTATGTATTACTGGATCAAGCCCAAAATCAAGTTACTTGGGTCAAAATTCAAGGAAAAATTATATAAATTAATACATTTTAATAAATAATTACTGATTTTAGCGATACTTTTTATTTATTGTCATTTATAGCAATATTATGTAAAATCTGCAATATGAATTAAAAGTGAATTATGTATGCAATGTACGTGAATTATAAGTTGTTTTTTGAAATATATTAAGTTTGTTTACTAAATTTGACACATTCTATTATAAATGTATTAAAATGTGTGAAAAACGTATTATCCATCGTTAAAATTTGTATTATATGTAATATTAAATTGTTATTTATAATATGTATAAAACTTGTATTATAAATAAATTAAAACTGATTAAGTAATTTTTTTTTATTATTGCTATAAATGGTAAATATTTTTTTAATTATAGTACGTGTATATAAGTTCCCCGAAATTCAATGGGGGAAAGAAGTGCACAAATATCTGTGTTTAACGTTGCAGAAAAATTACCAGATTACATAAACATTCCTATCATATTTACTACGTAGTTTTTTTTTCATAATTTTGAAAAGTTACGCATCGTCTTCTAATTAGTAATTTCATACTAGATGTCAAGTCATATAGACCTAGATGCATGTAATATACTACTATATACACTTTAAAATATAAACTTATAGAAAAAAAGACGAGTGAAAAAGACGTAAAGTGAATGAGAGAGAGTCTATGTATCGCAAATAGATGCAAACTAAAAAAAGTGTGATTCCAATTAAAATTAAAAAGCGAAAGAAGAAATGTTTAAAAACTTCCATTTGAGATTTTGAAAGAAACAAATCAAAGATTCCTTTTTTTTTATTCAACGTGCCATTAATACCTAATTAAAAAAAGACAACACCATTCGAATCGATAATTAGTCTTATTGTGCATTTTAATAATAGAAATTAAAATATTATATATATATAATATTCTTTCTATTTCATTTTATAAGACACTTTTCAGATTTTAAAATTCAAATAAATTTATTTTATAAAAAGGAAAAAATGACAAATATATTCTCGAACTACCGTAAATGATATGCAGATACCTTCAGTCATTATTTTGGGACATTGATGTCTCTGTCGTTCATAAATTAGAGCATATATGCCCTTCACTCTAACGAAGGGACAGGGGTACCAATGTCTCCAAAGTATGACGGTAGGAGCACCAATGTCCCAAAAGTACGACGACAGGGGCACCAATGTCCCAAAAGTATGACGACAAGGGCACTAATGTCCCAAAAGTATGACGAATGGTATTTGCGTACCATTTACAATAGTTTGGGATGTATCTGTCCTTTTTCCCTTATAAAAATTATCAAATTGTTATAATTTATGATACTTTTTACATCGTTTACAAATAGAAATTTCATTTCAAAAAAGTTAAAAATTTCAAATAAACTTAAACGATTCCACTCTAAAAAAAAAAATTAACACGTAAATTGAAACAGACATAAAATAAAATAAAGGAAACAATGACATGTTCTCCTCATTGTTATCAGCGCAAAATATACAAATAACATGTAAAAGCATGTAGTAGCCGTAGTGTTTCGTTTGAAAATGTTACTTTATGGATACCCTTCCTTCTCCCTTGGGATGATTTTATCTATTTATACTATAATAATACTGAAGTTTGATGTGAAGTGTGAACAAAAAATTGTTATAACTTAGCTATATTGAAATTTTAACCTTGTCTCTTCAACAACCATCCTTGAATCTACCTGTTTTCTACCCTTCTCAAACAGACAAACAGAGAGAGTGTGAGAGAGATTATGTAGCAATATGCAAGTTGAAAGAATAATTAATGGTCTAGGAAGGCATATTTTTGGGAATTTAACTATCAGATCAGATAAAGTTTGAATCTTTATTGTATATATATATTTTTAAGATAAGTTTATTTCATTGCTATTTGAGGAATAGTTCAAGTTTAGGAAGAAATTTGTAAAACCCCATGGGAGAAACAAGTTTAAGAGATCCCCCCCCCCCCCCAATTTGCTTGGAAGTTGACTTTTCCATGTTTTTTTTTGTGCTAGAATATTGAAAAGGCCTAATCTTGAAGTGGGGTTTTACAGATTTTGGGATCCCCATTTGCTTGGAAGTTGACTTTTCCTGTTTTCCAAGACATAATTTGTACCAGGATATTGAAAAGGCTTAATCTTGAACTGGGGTTTTACAGATTGGGATCTACATTAGCTTGGAAGTTGACTTCACCACCAGGATCTTGAAAAGGTCCAATCTTGAAGTGGGGTTTTCTTGTTCTTTTGGGATTCCATTTTGTAGATTTGGGGAGTGATGGGGGGAGAAGAGAAACTTCAAATTATTCATAGTGAGGGGGAAGAAGCCAAACTTCAAAATATTCATAGTGAGGATGAGGAAGTGCAAGAAAGTAAGCATAATAATGGGATCTGTAGTTCTATTTGTGCTCCAGTCAACTGGTTCAAAATGCTTACTATGGAATTACACTGGAATTTTGTGTTTAGTGTGGTGATTGTATATGGAGTAAGCCAAGGACTTGGTGGAGCTTTTTCCAGAATAAGCACAGAGTACTATATGAAGGATGTACAAAAAGTGCAACCTTCTGAATCTCAGGTTTACTCAGGGATAACTTCAATCCCCTGGATGGTCAAGCCTCTATGGGGTCTTTTCACTGATGCTGTTCCCATTTTGGGGTATCGTCGCAGACCTTATTTCTTGTTTGCGGGTAAAATATGCAATGCCATTTAGCTTTTATTTTGTTTTACTGCTAATTTTAGACTCTTGATTATCTGTTAGTTTAGCTGTAGTTAATGTTGTCTCAAGGCTGATAGCTAGTTGAAATCCACTCATATAATATTACACTACTTGCTAAAACTGGAAAATCCCATGTTATAATTGGACTTGTTAATAAGAAAAAAGAAAACTTTTAGTGGAGTTAGGTACCTAAGTAGCAGGAAACCTTAGTAAAAGGATAAGATGGATATGATATCTTCTCCAGAACTTTAGCTAAAACTCCTATGGCTCTCAGGCTCAACTGTCATTGAAAGAACGAGAGTCATAGAATATACTACTGGCACATATTTATCTCCATTTTAAGAAAGCTTTTATCAGTATGTTGAAAGTAGTTTCTTTTGGTAGCATGTTCAGGATGTAGCTTCAGTAGAGTCGCATGTCGCTTACAAACAACTCAAACTCAGGCTTGTCATTTGAGTTGAGCGTTTGAAGTACATTTCTGTTCTCAAATGGGTAAGAGGCTTAAGAATGTTGCCTGTGAGAATTGCAATTATTGGTGCATCATAATATTTAAATCATCTACAAATTCTTTGATGGAGAGGAAATTAAATGTGACTACAAACAAGTTAAGAACAAACCTGAGATTGCCAATTTCCTTCTTGTGAATTTTCAAAAAAGTAAACAAAAATATAGTACTAGTTATGGTATTGAATACACTTACCCCTCATAGGCAATGTAAGGTTTTCATAAGCAAGTTTTAGTGCCTGGGCCACTCAACCCACTGTCTTAAGATTTCCAGTAGGATGCTCAAATTCTTCCATATTATATCAAAGTCAAACATATTCCAAATTTTTGGTTTATTTCACTCATTTGTTTGTATGAGAGTTTCCAAAAGGGGTTTATAATGTCTTGAGCTACTCGGTGTTAAGTTTCTGAGATGGATGCTCAGATTCTTTCACTGAGTATGTAGTGCTTCATGAGATTCTTTCACCGAGCGTGTAGTGCTTCATGAAAAAGGGTTGTGTTGAGTGGGGTGAGTAAGAATATCACTCAGTAATCAATACGGTCTTAAGCCAATTTAGTTGGACACAAGTAGATTTTGTATAGGTTCAATCATATCTGCTCAAATATGACATAACATGTCCATTTGACATGTCATACGGAGCAGGTTCCATGCATATTTTCTTCTTTAGGTAACCTTTGGATTCTTCGGTGATAACAGTGATGTTAGACTATTCTATGTAGTCTAACAACACTGTTATTACAGAAGAATAATTCAAACTTCCAATAATACATTCTTATCCCATCGAAGGAACTGAAATATTTATATAATCTTAGAAGTCTTCATCTATGTCTGAAATGATTTTGGATTTAGATCTATTGAATTTTGTTACTCCATTCTATTAAAAAGTCACTTCCTTCTTGCCTTTGTTACAGTTTGTTATAAGACACTCAGCCCTTACACCACTCAAACTGGAAATACATCTTGGTCATAAAAAACGTTAACAACCTAGATTTATGTAGATCAGTATTATTGTCTATGAAGGTAGGATCCTGTAACTGTTGAAATCTATCTTGTTAACTTAGTTTTATGATACTCGCTAAGGAGACATTAGCTAATGCTGATGGAAGAAATTGATTCCCCTTTTCGAATTTTCTGAATTGAACTGATAAAATTTTCTTCTGCACTTGATGACACTTTGCCATTTGCCTGCACCCCCGAATATTGGTTGAATCTTATAAAATTTTCAGTGTCTCGTGCCAGTTTTTCTCGACGTCCTTAGCATAACTTGGTTAGTGGATCAAAGTGCTGACAAAAGTAAATTCAAACTGTTTATTATTTCTTTGGCATATTTGCTATTTTTTTCATTCTTTATATGAAAGCATGACATGAATGTTTCCAGGTTCTCTTGGAGTTTTCTCTATGCTGTTCTTATCGTTGCACAAAAACTTGCATATTGTGCTTGCACTGCTCTCCTTGACAGCAGGAAGTGCTGCGGTTGCTATAGCTGACGTGACTGTTGATGCATGTGTGGCACAAAACAGTGGTTCTCATCCTTCTCTTGCAGCTGATATGCAAAGCTTATGTGCCTTGAGTTCCTCCATTGGGGCACTAGTGGGATTTTCTTTAAGTGGTATATTAGTTCATTTACTTGGCCCTATGGTTAGCTTTCTATCCATAATTTAAACAACTTTTTTGTATATTCATTATGGGAAGTCTAGTAAATGTCTAATTATAGTAGATTACTTCTGAATCCTTTTCTTTGGAAAAAAGGGGGTATATGGCTTATTGTCCATACCAGCCGGGCTTGTTATTTTGGTAGGAGTTTTGCTCAAGGAATCTCCTACACACAGCTTTGCTTATCAACAGGTACTTACATCTCATCTCACTTCTATTTATGAACAATTTTCAGTTTCTAAAATCGTAATCCGTCCTCAGGTTAATCAGAACTTAACTGATGCTGCCAAGGCTATGTGGAATACTTTGAAATGCCCGGAAGTTTGGCGACCATGTCTTTATATGTACTTATCCTTTGCGGTGAGTGTAGATATCCAGGAAGGTATGTTCTACTGGGCAACAGATGCAAAGGGAGGACCACATTTTTCAAAGGTGAGTAACTGTTAGATATGTCCCGTTCCTATCAAGCCAACTACATTTTACAATCATAAATTCATTTAACTTACTGTTAACCAAAATTGACAAAGTTATACAATGACAAAAACAAATAAGGGAACTCAGAGGCTCAAGTTAACCTGCTTAGATGCTTAGCCACATGTGGCTTACCCTATCAACTATACATACAGTAGGCCTCTCCTATCTTTTCACTTGACATCTTGGTTTGACTTCTTGTTAATGTTGTAAATGCATAAGAAAACCTTATTATCAAATTAAAATTAGTTCTTTGTACTCTTTTTGGGGATAAGAAAAATTGATTTACCTGATTGAATGCACTTTTCTTTCTTCCTATTTCATGTAAGTTCTCTTATTTAGAATGAAAGAAGCCCACATGAGTATTCTATTAAGGTAAAATGCATAAACACACACTCAAACTTGGTCTCAACTGCCAACTCAATACTCCAACTTAGAAAGTGCACGTCTAGATACCTCAACTTGGTCTCAATTGACAACTAAACACTCTAACTCATCCCCAGTGTCTCGTGGACACACGATGCTGACATGACACATAAGTTTTGGAGGTGTCTAGATGATCATTTTGTAAGTTGGAGTGTTCAGCTGACAAAGTGGAGACAGGTTGAGGTGTCTAGATATGCATACTCAAAGTTAAGATAATGTATTTACTTGCCGGTTGAGGACAAGTGTGAGTGTATGCCTTATGTATTGTGCGTTCTATTAAACATGTGTTTTTTTTTGGTAGACGAACTCACAATGGAAATGTGAAATTCTGTAAATGCTTTATTCCTGCAGGAGTATATTGGATACATATCAGCAGTAGCCTCCATTGGATCACTATTAGGGGCTATACTGTACCAATATGGATTAAAAGACCATTCTTTTCGAGACCTGCTCTTTTGGACTCAGTTATTGTTTGGTCTATCAGGAATGCTAGATTTGGTGCTAGTGTTGCGTTTAAATTTGAAAATCGGTATACCTGATTATTTCTTCATGGTGATGGATGCAAGTGTAACTCAGTTGGTTGGACGACTAAAGTGGATGCCACTTCTTGTTCTAAGTTCCAAGCTGTGTCCTCCTGGCATTGAAGGCACCTTTTTTGCCTTGCTCATGTCAATTGACAATACTGGACTTCTGACATCAACATGGTTTGGTGGATTGTTGCTTCATATCTTCAAAATTACAAGGACAAAGTTTCATAATCTCTGGCTAGCCATTTTGATAAGGAACATTTTGAGAATCACTCCACTTTTTATACTGTTTTTGATTCCCAGAAGTGATCCTAACTCCTCTATCCTTCCTGATGAGATGTCTGATTCAAAAGAAACCACTGGAACCTCAACAACTCAGAATGAAAATATCGAACTTGTCGCTCTGGTTCACAACATGGATACTAGATAGCGGTGGATTATACACGTTTTTGAGCTTAACTATTTCCATAACCATACTTATAGAAGTCATTACAGGGTATGAGTTTTAGACACCACCCCATTGTTATTATTTTGGTTTAGTTTAGATAGTAAAAGTCATTGCATAGAAGATTCATTTTTCTCTGTATTTTTACGAGTTTTCGTCACATTGACATTAAACATGTGAAAACAGAAATTACACTGTCTGTTAAACTTGCAAGACACTTGTTTCTTGTGGATTTTATAAGCATTTCATACTCAAATGTTTTATTAAGAATTGGATGTAATTCTTATCATATATGTAAACTCTTCTTTACAGCTTGAAACTTCAGAAATGGGATTGTGTTAAATGAAACCTCAAAAAGATGCTCTACTTATCAATTTTCTTCAACTCGTCCCCACAGTGTCTCGTGGACAGTTGATGTTGATGTTGACGTGGATCATTTTGTAAGTTGACGCGATGCAGATGAGTTTGAGTTATCTAGATGTGCATATTCAAAGTTGGAATGCTTACTTATCAACTGCGGCCAAGTTTTGAGTATCTGTTTATGTATTACGAAGAACTACCCTAGTTTGTTTTTTTACAAAAAAAAAAAAAGGAATGAATGACAATACAGTTTTAAAGTGATATCATCTTTTCTTGATTTTACTTTCCTGTTTGTTTTTTTTTCTTTACAGAAAAAGTGTAGTTAGAAATGGACATAAAACAACTTTTGGCCCTTTTAACATGATTATCATTATTCTAAAGATTTGTTCCCTCAAATCTAAGACACAATTGCTTTTCTTTTAATGTATTCATCACTTTCTTGTTTTCATTATCAAACTTCTCAAATAAAGATATCAAACTTTAACTTTATCCTAGTCACTCATATATCATTTCTTTAAAAAGGGGACTTCATGTAGTTCTTTTATAAGCATTGTATTACCATTTCTTATTTGCTTCAATTAGATATCTTTACTATCTAGCCATGACTAATAACTTGATGCTAGTACTAGCATGTCTAACTTCACTAACTTGTTCAACAATGTGTTTGAGCAAGGGAGGAGAAAGTTATGTTCGCGATGCATGTAGTGTGACTCGATATCAGGACCTCTGCCTTCACTCGTTAGCATCATTCTCGAGGACGGCCAAGGACAACCCTAGCAAGTGGGCCCGGGCCGGGGTCTCTGTGACAATAAGCCAAGCCAAGGGTGTCACTCAATTCTTGTTGAAATTGAGGAAAAGCAATTTCTTGAAAGGGAAAAGTAGAGTTGCTATTTTAGATTGTGTTGAATGTTTGCAAGATGCACTTGACAATCTACACAATTCATTAGGGGTGCTAAGAAAACTTAGTAGCCAAGCTTTTAATGACCAAATGGGGGATGTGACCACTTGGTTAAGTGCTGCTCTAACTGATGAAGACACTTGCTTAGATGGACTTGAAGACAAAAAGAGAAAACAAGTTAAGTTACTCTTGAACAAAGTCACAAATGTGAGTTATATGACTAGTAATGCACTTGCTTTAGTCAACAAACTTGCAACAACAGGACCACAATGCTTAGAAAATTCATAGTAGGACTTGCAGTTTTTCCTTATTAGTCACTGCTTTGAAGTACCCTTTTTTTTCTCAAGTTACGTTGAGCGTCTATTAGAAGCAGCTTCTCTATCTCTGTACACTCTATGACACTCTATTCTCTCCAGACCCCCCACGTATCTCGTTGTTGTTGCAAACCAGTTACTACTAAAGGTTAAGAGTATGTAATGTAAAAAAGACTTTGTATTTTCCATGTAAGATTTTCTTTTTTTCCAATAAAAAACAGATTAGTTTCTTGAACCTCAGCACAAGATCATTAAAAAAAAAATAATAAGGATTGAACAGCACCTATCCAATAATATTGGGTCTACTGTCTCAAGTCCAAGACTTCTTCATGCCCATATATTTGTTCAAGTAAATGTACTGACAAGAGATGAGACTCAGTAACTGAGAGATAAAATCATTAGCAAAGTTTAAAGTGCTCAATTTACAGAACTATGCATAGTTATACATCCATGATTCGAAATGCAACGCCAGTATAGGTTCAGTTCCGACAACAGTTGGTTTCCCCCTGCAGATAGTTTTTGGAGTTCAGGGAAAAGAAGCGTATATCGTACATAGATTTTTACTCCTGACAGCAACTTCCAATCCACAGCTCTTCTATTCATAAAAGCTATCAGGAAATTAAGTGAAAATGGTATATAGAAACTAGCCTTTAAGATATATTATCTCTGCGATGCCAGTTTTTTCAGGTGTTGCAATGTTTTCTGTTTTATCCACTGCCGGTCATAGGGGAGGTAAGCCTGGATTGAGTGATCATACCTGCAGCAAGTCAACAAAGAATGCTGGAATTTGTTAACATTTCAAAAGCATAGTGAGTGCTAAGAATATTAACAATGTGTGTTCTATCGGGTTATGATGGACTAGTGGCCAATTGTTTGATGTGCACGTAGCAGTTCATCCTGTTCAAGAACTGAAAGTACAGAAACCCGAGAGGTCAAATGGAAATGTGTGTAAGATGTATGAGTCTGTTTTAACATCAATGAGATGAACTGAAAATTTTGGTGTGAAAAAAGCAGTAGCATTTAAAGACCTGCTCACAGAGAGCCATATTAACAAGTTCAGATATGCTCATGTGTCGGTAATGAAATGTGCAATACTTGCATATTTCTCTGATTTGGGATTCTATTCAAAGGATGCACAGGTGGAATCTGTGTGCGTAAAAGAGAGTAGAGAGCAGGAGGGAGGAAGAGGTACACTAATGCACTCATATCAGCAAGGCCATCTATGAAATTGTAAAGATCTGAAATGTCGTAAGTGATTTCTCTGATGGCTGGGTTTAATTCCTTGAGTTTCCTCTCATACAAAGCACAAATTCCTGCAGGAAAAAAGTAACATAAAAAACGGCTAAACATAAGAGGGAATATTGAAGCTCAAATCACATGCACAAGGTAAATAATTTATGCAAAAAAATGTGAAGAAAATGTCTTCCACACATACTATTTGCTTCCTCCATCATCTACAACAACAACAACAACATACCCAATGTAATCCCACAAGTGGGATCAGTGCACACAGACCTTAACCCTACCTTAAAGAGATAGAGAGGCTGTTACCATAGACCCTTGGGTTAAAAAATATTTCAAAGTAGTTTAAAAAAGGAAATATAGAAATGAAAGAACTAACAATAATGAAATAATGTGAAATAGAAAACAGCACTACAACATATAGAAGAACGAGTAGTAACAAGAACAAAATAGTGCGATAAACAAATCACCAACAAATACACCGACTGAAATCGAAGAATAAGAAACTACGAGAATATTGCTAATACTACTGGTAACAAAGTAGGTGCAGGTATGGCACCAAGTCTATCGTGCAGAAAAGCGAGAGAACGCTCAATTACCAACTAACATTCTATTCTAATCCGCACCCTCCAAACCCTCCTATCTAAGGTCATGTCCTTTGTAAGCTAAAGACGCGACAAGTCATGACTAATCACGCCTGCCTCCACCTCTCCTGACTCCCGCCAAGTTATTTTGGATAATTCACCTTACAAGTTCATTACTAGCTATAGTATATGTTAAGTCCCACTATTATACCAAAACTAACATCCCAATAATGAACCTTCTTTCTTGTCATGAGGTATATAACAACAGATTCTTGATAGCGTTTTACAAGCTTTCATGAAAGTAACCATCTATGAATGCAAAGTGTCACCTATAATGCAAAGCAAAAAAGTGCAATGTTATGGAGTTCCAATACAAAACACTTCTCTTCAACATTAAGATTTTACTTATCCCTAAAAAGTAGGTATGGGTCCCAGCCCCTTTCTACTATCAAATCCAATCATGAGAGTGATTCTTTATTTGCCTTGATTTCCTTTACCTGGAAGTCAAAAGATAGATGTCGTTCCTACATGCATCTAGCTCTAGTCTAACATAATTTCTCCCACCAAAAAAATTCTAGCCCACCATAATTTTAGAAGTGTGACAAACGAAATAGGAAAATGGACTAACATGCTTGTATTTGGTGACAAGACAAAAAATAAGTGTTCTTCAAAGTTTCAAATAAGAGAGAAGGATTTTTGCCAACGGATAATAATGCATAATGAAACTGTTTGCAAGTACTACAGGTGTAAACTACTGTATTCTAGTTCAGATTTCATGCTGCTGATACAAATCCTGTTGATTAAATTAAGTTTGTGAGCTTGACATCTTTTCCTAAGTTTGTGCCTTATTTTGGTTTACCTACATTCAGGGGGAATTCAAGTATCGCTTCAAAGCAAGGGCAAATATATCAAGAGTGCAATGCAATTATAGCAATGTTGCAATACATACCATCCATTGCTTGACTTATTGACTCGTAATCCATGAAAGTGCGAGTTGCTCGGTTCTGAGATGTCTGCATGAGAACAATAGTGTGCCTGTTTGCCTGCAGAGCACCACCCAAAGAGTAGTCAAATAAATATGCTAGTAGCTCTTTGCCTTCATCTTGTTCTTGATGTACTTAAAATTATAAGCATCATGCCAATGAGATCAAGTTGTCCTCATAGAGCACTCCTAATGAAATTCAATATTGTACCACTTCTCTTACATCAGAATTCAGAATGCTCATACAACTTGCCCTAAATATATCTAAGCCTGATGAAATAGCTATATTCTCCCTGGGGATGTCCGAAGATGGAAATACCATACATAAATTGGGATGGGAATCATGTACATTAATTTCTCTCAACTGTTAGTAAAATAGTATTGTAGATGATCCGAACTTTTATCTCTAACTAGATGCACACTGTGCGTCTTTGTATGTTTTTCGCTCTCAAAAGAAAAACAAAGTGGATGAAAGAGGTCCTTGTATTCAGAAAATGTTACTTATGTCACATAGAGGATTGGAGACTTTAGGCACCTAGCTTTTCCAAAAGGAAAAAAGCAACATCTGAGGATAAGCATCATAAATCACGAAGAAAGTCTCTTTCCACAGAGAGAACATCTTAAAAGAGAAAGTGATGCAGTACGTTCAAGGATAAGGATCATAGATCGCCAAAAATTATCTTCCAGGTTTCCACCAAAAGAAGATCTAAAAGAGGAAGTGATCCAGTACAGCCCAATCAATAATACTCTTTGGCAAAGAAAATAAGACAATGGGATATTATGATGTTGACCAAGAAAAAGGAAAGAAAGAAGAGATGAGACCTTATTGAGGCAGCACCAGAATACCTTAGGGTGTGTCCATGAGAGAGCAACAGGATAATATTGCAAAAGAAGCTAATACCATCCATATGAACCATTATATCCTCCTCATTATATAGAGCTAAGACTATTCCAAAATCAGCAAAGATAGGTTAACTGGAACAGAGGTTCAACCTATTCAAATTATTATTTCACAGTGGAACTTCCTCGAGGAAATGTTTCTTACACTACCAGCAAGTCAGGAAACACTATACCCTCAATGACTATTACAACTATCAACTTTATAAGCATTAAGAGTATGACTGGTATAGTTTCAGATATTCTTTTGACGAAGTATAGTTTCAGATATTCATAGCTACGATATGGTCATATCTCTATTATCGCTTCTTACTTTACCTATCTACCATCCATTTCCACTTCTATGACCAGTTTAACACTATAAGGACCCCAAGTAGGCATGTACACAATCATACAACCATCAGTAACTCAAGATTAGTTTATGCTACAACTCCCTGTAGCTGACTCATCTGCGTACACTTGAAACATTGTGTGCCTCCCAGGTACATCAAAACCATAGAAGTGGATGAGTTTGGGAAAAGATATGCACAATAAAACAAATAATAAAAACTTCACCTAGTGAATGGTTTTTACTTTCTTTTCTCTAGACTTCTGAAAACAAGAATTCATTTACATGTTAATGTTCTAAAAGGAAAAACTGAAGTCTTTCTTAAAGGAGGAAAAGCAAAGACTTTGTAATGGTGTTCACTACTACTTATAGTCCTCTTGCACCCACTTCACCCCAGAAAACAATAACTAAATAGATAAATTTCAAAAAACGCCAAAAATATAAGAGGCACAACTGATTTGATCATCAGTTCAGTTAATATACTTCTATAATATGTCAACCACCACATCTTTTTTTTTTGATGAAGTAATGTATAGGTAAAAGTAATGTATATGTCAACCATCACATGGAAACTCAAAATTACAGATATATCATCTCTGGGACATAGTTGGTGCAAAACTACTCCTTTTTTTTTTATTAGTGTGTAAAACTGCTCTTCTAACCATCAATTTTGCTACCATGAAGTTCATAATGGCATAATGAGGGGTAACAGGTGTAAGCCAACACCTCTTACCAATCCTTTTTTCTCTATGACCGAGTTGTTTGGTCATTTGAGGTCACAGCAAACCTCAAACTAAGTGTTGTACCTGGGGTAAAAGATGAAATTTCCAATTGTCACTAGTATGCCTCAACCGATCAACCATTCCTTTGTGAACAAGGCTTCTCTTCATTACAAACAATTGTTCAACCATTGTATATGTTAAACAATAAATTGCACATAATTGAAAACCGAAGCTGAAGTCACATGAATGTGTAACTTCGTTCCATCAACCCCTTTGATTACCTCAGTTCCTCCAAGAAAGAGAACAGACGACACGGATTCCAACACTAAAACACAAAGCTAAACTAAGACAAGATTGGAGTTGTGACCTACTGCTTGCTACTTCATCAAACACTCAAGTAGTGTATGGTTTAATATAACCCACAGGATTCTCTTTCCCCCTCTTCCTCCATCCACAAACCAAACTACAACAACAACAACAACAACCTAGTGTAATTCCATAGGTGGGGGTATAGGGAGGATAGAGTGTATGCAGATCTTACTACCTTGAGAAGGTAGAGACGTCGTTTCCGATACAGCATTGGCTGAACCAATGATGAAAAAGAGGCAGCAGTAACAAGGAGAAACAGCAACAAGAAAATAAGTTATCAAGGTTAAAGAAACAAACAAGTAGTAATAGAATCTAAAGATAAGGGAAAAAAGGAAGAGCACTACTAATACTCGGAGAATAGAAAAGAAATACGCCTAAATCGGTGAGCTAAAGATGCACTATACCCTCCACCCACAAACCCAAAAAAAAGTAAATATTCTATATAGGATTTCTTATTGCTTTTGCAATTAAATCACCCATTATCCCCTAGATACATGGTTGCCAGATACCCATGGGAAAACACATCGCAAAACTTGTATACTTCAAAGACATGAAGTCCCGGAGCTCTTATTTTAAGAGTTAGTGATATCCCTTTACTGCAGATTCAACAGCACCTGTACTGCACCTTAATTCCCATAGCTCTTTTTTCGAACCATTCATCCACTTCCCTTTACTCCAGTGGCAAATTTTAGAAAACAAAGATGCTACTGAAGCTGTAGTAGCATCCTGGATGTTCTGTACTCCACCCCACCGAAGGAAAAAAAAGTAAAATAGATAAATAAAGCTACATTATGTAGTGTAGTTCTTTAACCAGCCTCAACTAATACATTATGTTAGTAAAAGCTTTAAACCAGCTAATTCATAATCATCTCAGCAAACAAAAGCAAAAACGACAACATATCCGGAATAAACCCACAAAGTAAAGTGTGAGAGGGTATCGCGAGCCTACACAGACCTTACTCCTACATCTTCAAGGCAGAGAAGCTAAATTTATACAAAAAGTACAAGCAAGCTAATCCAAGAGGAGGCAAAACATTAAAAAAAAAAAACTCTGCTTCAAATACATACAACGTCATAGGGTTCAAAAGAACAAGACATAAATTCATAAACCCCAAAACAAATAGCATAAATATCCTATTTTCTACTTTCCTATAACATTAAGAAACTTAAGTACATACATCGGAGCCCTAACAATCGGATTACTCAAAATATTTACCAAAAAAATTGTAAAATTATAGAAAAATCACATAAAATTCAAGGAAAAGGCATAAAAACAATATCGTAATTGAGAAAATCAACATTACCATTTTACGAATGAACAAGGATTGAGCCTGTATTTGCTGAATATTGAAGCAGAATATCGGAAAATCTGTTCCTTAAGGGGAACGGCGGGAGGCGGGAGGCGGCGGCGGCGGCGTCTTCGCGATTGTTCCGGCCACTGTTTTTCCAATCAAATAATACAGGTTGACGGAACGGGACGACTCGTTAATGTTTTAACAAAGCAAAAAAGAAAAAGTCAAAAATACCCCTCAACTTTTATTTATTTTTTCGGTTCTATTTTATGTGTGTTTAGACGGGCTAAAAGAAAAGGAAAACGTATATGATTAAACAAATATATACTCGTCGTCGTAACAATAGTTTTAGCTGATTACCACTCATAATCAATATTAAACGATATTTATGTGGATTGACTTTCGAGTTTGTATAGTTCAAAATTTTTCTGATATAATTTTATATAACTTTTGTATAGTGTAATATTCTATAATATAATTTATATAATTGTTTAAAGGTCAGAGTCAATACAAAAATAGTTGAAGCCTCAATTATGCAAACGGGGCAGCTTTAACTGTATCTATAATCGGTAACTACACAAACTATAACTATGGAGCATAATTAAATTTGTTATAGGGAACTTTCATATATAGCCACTTAAAAGGAATAAATTACTCTCCAAAGCTATAGTTTGATAATTACAATTTGTAGCTACATGTTATATGAAGAAGAGAGGCGATCGAGACTGGGAGAGAGAGGAGGGAAAGTGGGGGAGAAAAGTGAATTGTATATGTATATTGTTTAGATAATTGTGTATTATACATATGTATTTGTGTATATGATAAGCGAGATTGGGAGAGGAAGGAGAGAGGCGAAGAGACTGGAAGAGGGAGGAGAGAGGTGAGCGAGATCAAGAGAGAGAGGCGAGGAGAGAGGCGAGTGAGAGAGGGCAGAGAGTGGGAGAGAGGTGAATTGTATATGTATATAATAGTATATAACGGTATATTATACATATGCATTTGTATATATGACACGCGAGATTGGGATAGAGAGGAGAGAGGCAAGCGAGATTGAGAGTGGGAGGAGAGAGGCAATCGAGATTGAGAGAGGGAGGAGATAGGTAAGAGAGAGGATAGAGAGTGGGAGAGAGGTGAATTTTATATGTATACAAGTTAAATAATTGTATATTATACATATGTATTTGTATATCCTGACGAATTATACATATACAAATGTGACTAATCATATAAACTCGAAGTCAGCCCACGTAATTTATGTATAATGTTAGTCATGAGTGCTAATTATAGCAAATTATAATTATGATAATTAATTAAATTGTATAAGTTTGCTTAGCTGCGTAATTTTCCCTTTATTATAATGACTATTTACAAAACCCAAAAAATGTGTATAAAAACCTATTATACATTCATATATATCCTCATATAAGGTGGATACATAGTAAGTGTATAGTATTTTCATCCTGATTTATATGACATAATTGAAATTTTGAGTGACAAAGACGTTGTTTTTATTTACCCAAATTTCTTTATAAGCCTTATATATATATATATATATATATATATATATATA